CCAAATGAAGAGTCTAGGGTCTGAGTCTCAAGCCCAGTCCTGGAATCCAATACTTGGATGCTGGGTTCAGATATTGGGGTGCTGAGTCAAGATTTGGAGGTCTAGAGACCTCCAATTTCAGCATTCGGGTTTGCAGCAAGGACTTCAGGCTCAAACTCAGGTTTAGGCCCCTTGGAATACCGGGGTTCAGATCTTGGAATTTGAGGCCTAAATCTCAGAGTTCAGGTCCCAAATAGCGGGTTCCAGAGTATAGGTATGGGAATCTGATCCCAGATTCAAGGTCCCAGGCACAGAATTCAGAGTTCAGCTTCAGATTTGGGGTTTTAGATGCAAAGTCTTGAGGTTCAGACTCCAAAATTTGGGGTCCATATTCCAAGTCTTGGGGTTCCAGAGACTGAAGTTGAGATTCCAGCCCCAGATATTAGGTGTTCAGGCTCCAGGTCTTGGGGTCCCAGCCCCAGATCAGGGTCTCAGGCTCAGGTTTCCAGATCTCTGGATCCGATCTCGGGGTGCAGGCCCCCCGATGTCGGGGTGCCGGCCCTGGGTTTGGGGCAGCGTGGTCCAGGCTTGCTTCCCGGGCTGCGGCGGGGACTGGCCCGGAGGGAGGGGGGCGGATGCGGTGGGGAGGGCGGCAAGGCAGCCCCGGGGGCCGGGGTGGGGCGAGGCCTGGGCGAGGACAGACGGACAGACTGGGACAAGCGGGGTGGAGGCACTGCAGCGCAGGTGGGGGCGCAGGGGGGAGGGGCCGCGTTCAGAGACCCCTCCCCCGCCGGGGCCGGGGCGGGGGCCGGGCGGGGGCCGGGCAGGCAAGCCGGGTCCGGGCGCTCCCGCGGCCTCCTCGCCGGGAACCTAGGGCCTCGCGCGCGCCCGCGCTTAAAGGCGCAGGCCCTGCGCGTGCCCGCGCTTAAAGGTGTAGGCAGCTCCCTCTCTCAAAGGCGCGCCTCCAGCCCCACTTCCCATGGAGTCGCCCTGGCGTTGCTTGGGAGCAAGAAAAAAATCCTTGGATACAGAGAGACACAGAGACTGAGACAAAGAGACACACAGATTGAGAGAGACCGAGACAAAAAGATAAGCAGGCTTAGACTGAGAGACAGGAGTACAATGAGAGAGGCAGATAGAGAGATGGAAGGATACACATATTCAAAGAGAGAGGGAAATACACAGAGACAGTGAAATAGATAAGGACAAGACAGAGACAGACAAAGACAGAGACATAGAAAAAGTCAAAGAGACAGAGACATGGGTGGGTGGAGGGGGTAGGTGGGAGGGGGTAGCAGATACTGAACTGGGGCAACTCAACTGTGAAGATGGGTATGTGTATGTGTGTGTGTGTGTGTGTGTGTGTGTGTGTGTGTGTCCAGTTCTTATTCATAGCCCCAGATCTGCCTTACATCCCAAAGCCTCGGGCCCCCAAGCCTCTCTCCTGTCCCCTGGTCTCAGCACCACCTCCCTGGGATGCCCTTTCCTGGGTGGCATTTCCTTACTTGGACCCTGTTCAGCAACAAGCCTGATCTTTCAGGCCAGAGAAGAAACTGCTCCTTCCCAAGCCTCCTTGCCCTGGCTGCAAGGGGAAAACTTGGCTCCCCTACCTTGTGCCCTCTGGAGTTATAGCTTAGACCTAAAGACACACTGGGCAGATATCCCATGGAGGAAGAAAAAGATAGGAAATGGGACAGAGGCAGGGGGCTGGACAGGTTGACCCAGAAAAGTGTGTCCACTGCCTTCCCCTCTCAGGTTCACTGACTCAGGTTCACTGCCCCACAGAGGACTCTGCTAGAAATGTACTAACACATGACTCACCAGGTGTGGGGCCTGCCTGTCCAGACTATTGTGAGAAGATAGTGGAGGGAAGGGTGGGGCGTTCCACACGTCTCCCGGCACATGGTATTGCAGGAGGACAGATGTGGGTGGTGGCCTGCATGCCTGCCCTGGGAACTTGGTGATAGCAACATGGAGGACCTGATCTTTGGGACCCCTGGTCTGAAGGGAACACAGTCTTGGCCTTTGGTCATGGCCCTAACCCTGGGGAAACCTGAATGGTCACAAACCACCCCTGGGGATCTCCCTTCTGAGTAGAGGAGTAAAGCAACCTTGTTGGGGGCAGGAACATCGATGCACATCCACCCTGGCATCCCTAGCTCTGCTGAAGGTTTCAGAACAGACTTTTGGCTCCTTCCACTCACGTGTATTGAAAAACTGCAGCTAAAATTAACTCAGCTCTAGGGCCCGCCTTTCCAGATCATTAGCAAAGTTCATCAGTGCTCCTGGGCCAGCATAGTGGATATTGGTTACTCAGACACTCAAAAAGAGGATGTAGAAGTCTCAGAGACACTACAGAAGTGGTGGAGGTGGGGGAGATACAGGGAAATGCCAGGGGACAATCCGAAAGCACGCTGGAATTAGAGTTCAGTGGAACTGGATGATTTGGGGGAAATGGGCAGGGGATTGGGGGAGAATGAGGCAGAGGATGAAGAAAGTTAATAAAGGCTGCAGGTGAAGAACAGGTTACCGCTCTGGGCAACTGGGGCTTACTTCAGCTGGGGAACATTAAGGAATCTTGCAGAACACATCAAAATGATGGTCCCCCCTCTTTTATTACCCCCTGCAAGATTTCTTCCTGCTGCATTTATCCACCAGTTGTTACCCCTTTGGGTAATAGTTGTGTCTTTGGTGGGAGAGAGTGGTACTGAGAGCCATCTGAGATCTGAGACAGAAAAGCAGAGAGGGATGCCCTGCATGAACTAAACCCGCTGGTCCTCAACATTGTAGTTGTTTTGGGATCACCTTGAACTTAACAATAGATCTCCAGGCCCCAGTCCCAGAGTTTCTGATTTGATACGTCTAGGCGGGGTCAAACGTTTGCATTTCTAACAAGTTCCCAAGTGATGCTAATGCTGCCGGTCCAGGGACCACACTGTGAGAACTGCTAGGTTAAACCAGGGAGCTCTGCAACCTGCATGGAGCTGTCCACCACAGCTGTGCCGAAACCTAGTGGACTGAGGGGACTTAGCATTTTAAGTGTGTGCCAGAGAAACCAGCATATTTAGAGACATAAAGAGGGGTTTGGGAGCAGAGAGGGGCAGAGGCAGAGATGCCGGTTCAACATTTACTGTAGATTTCTGGGCATGGTTGTGTGCTAAATGACACGGCAGCAGAAGTGTGACCAAGGCAGTGTCAGGTCTTGCTTTCATTGAGCTCAAATTTCAAGAGGAAAAAGACACATCTCCAGACAGCCCAGCGTGGTCAGGGCTGCACTAGGAGAAGCTTGGGCTAGACAGATTGGGACTGTCATGTCAGAGACCCAGGCCACAGTGGCCAGGGTGTGACAGGGGAAGCACAGGGCAAAGTAATACCTTGATGGCAAAGCACAGGCCAGAGTGGTCAGGGCTCCTGACGGGGGAAGAAGAAGGGTGTGGGGCCCCAGAGGCAGAATCCAACCCTTTAGGCGCCCCCACCCCCTGGGCCCCAGTCAGGGAGGCTTCCTGGAGAGGGGACCTTTATGCTGAGACCTGAAGGATGAGTATGAACAGAGTAGGTGGGCAAAGGGACCTCTATATTGCTTGTGTGCCCTCATTCTATAGCATGTGCAGTCTGGGGGTCCCTGCAATGCCCGAGTAGTACCGTGCATGTGTCTGCATGTGCTGTAACCCTTCATTAGCTCCTGCAAGGGTATCCTGATGGGATGGTGTTTTGGGGGGTTCCACTCAATTGCCGCATTTACTTAATTACAACATCTGGAGAAGGGGACAAAAGCAGCGGAAACAGCCACAGCAGGAAGAATGAGGTTAAACTGCCCGAGAGCTGAGGGGGCCTTGGGGGAAGAGGACTGATCATATGCATGCACAGAATCTGCCTGAATATACACAAATACACACGGGGGACACATCCATATTCACACATGCACATCACGTACTCAGAGGCTCACCAGAACACAGATACAGCAGGCGCATGGAACACATATACACCTGGCTTCCTGTTCAAATATAGGGGACACACACATGCACAGACTCACACTCAGACATGTGAGAGATCATATGTGTAAAAACACATTCTGCACAGATTCTCTCTTGCATGCGTGAGCCACATTCCCACATATATACACAAGAAACATTCAGAAAGTCGTATCAAATACCTATAAGGTATTCAAATCAATGAAGTCTGTTAAAAAATCACTTTACAAATAAACTTAGGCCCTCTTCAAGTTGGGGGTTGTTTGAGCAATCATGGATGGAGGTGGTGTCCCCTTATCCTCAACTAGTCCCTGCCAACCCAAGCCTAGCCGGTGGGGTTCATTGGAATTAGCTCAGCTTTGTAATTAGCACATGAATTGATACTGAGGACTGGGAATTCATTTCATTTTTTTTAAGTTTATTTATTTATTTTGAGAGAAAGAGAGAGAGCATGAGCGCAGGGCAGAGAGAGAGGGAGAGAGGATCCCAGACAGGCTCTGCACCATCAGCACAGAGCCTGATGTGGGGCTTGAACCCACAAACCACAAGATCATGACCTGAGCTGAAATCAAGAGTCAGATGCTTAACAGACTGAGCCACCCAGATGCCCCAGACTAGGAACTGGCTTTAAAGATTCGGTCGGAAGGTGCATTTCCATACGGATGGGTCAAAAGAGAGGGGCAAGAAGACGAGTGCACACTCCCCACCCTCCCAAACATATACACTAACCACCACCGTAAATCAGACTGATGGGTTCCAGGCAAGCACTGACTTCTACAGGGCAACCACAAGATCCTGTGTATGAGGTTCTGCTTAGCTATGGTGGAAGACCTAACGTGAGGCTCAGGGTCTGCTTTAATGACTTCCACCTGTCAACGTGGAAGAAGCCTTCCATAAGAACATGGGGGCAAGTTTACATTTGGGCAGAGAATGGAGTGGAATATACCGATGAGTTTTAATTAGTAAACATATAGCCAGTGGGCCACTGTATGAAAACACTATGTGAAGCCGGAACACCACAATTGGGGATTAGAGTTTCATTTCACAGAATGACAGGGGGTGCTCAAGGTTTATTGATATCAGGGGCCCAGAGAGGAAGGGTCGGAGTATCAGTAAGTGTAATGTCAGCTACTGTAACAAAGAACTCCCTTGATTTCAGTGACTTCATACAATAGTTGATTTCTTGCCACAGGTGTCCTGCTTGGTTGGCCTCTGTCCTCCATCTGGTGACTCACACAGCAGACTGGTTAATCTTGTGCCTCCATCATTTCCTGGGGCTCCAAATTATCTGCTTCCACCTGGCAAATGGGAGGAGAGAGGGTAAAGAAGTTTCACCAGCTTCTTAAAAAGCTTGGCCCAGAAGTGACCCTCTATAAACCTCCCCTCTGCCCGTATTTTATTGGAGAGAACTAATCACATAGCCACCCCAGATGCAAGGAGGGCTGAGAACATATCCTCAGGCTGGGCAGCTTCCTGCCATCGTAGTTATGCAGAGTGTACGGATGATAATGGCCCCAACATCAACCACCACCAGATCCACAACCTCAGGGGGAAGCAGCAGGAAGAGGCTGTGGGATCTCCTTCCATTCACCACAGCGAGTCCTGCTCCAGGGAGATGTCTCAGCCCCACGCTGACCACCCACCCACCTACCCTGGTCCCGGCCTTCGGGGTGGGTGATCACAAATTGGACTCCTTTGAGGGCAAAGTGAATCTGGCTTGATTTGATAAATCTCTAGGTCAGTGCTGAAAGATGATAGTGAGTATCCAACACTTTTTTCCCCCCAAGCATTTATTGAGCCCTCACCATGTGCCAGGCCCAGTGCGGGGAACACACCTGTGAATCAGGCACAGTCCAGGCTTTGGAATTTTGTCTCCTCATAAGGCAGAAAGAGAACAGGTAGTTTCTGGACCTGTGTTTGTCGCTGTGATATTCCATTATGAACAAGATTGGGGAGAGGGAAGGGACAAAGAAATCACCAGGTCTGCCTGCCTGTGTGTGATGGTGGGGTTGGGAGTGGAGGTTCAGTGAAGGGATGAGGGCAACATTTGAGGACGAAGTCACCTGGACCAGAGGGGGGTACATAGGTTTGAACATAATCCCTGTATTATCTGTGTGATCTATCTATCTATTAATCTGTGCAGATCTGTGTGCTAATCATTAACCTAATGATTCCAGCTCCTAACACAAACCACTGTTGATTCAAGTGCTAATCAGAAGTCCGATCTCTGTGAACACAAACTTGTGCTGATTCATGTGCAAACTGTAAATCTATGCTGACTGTAAACTCTGTCCTGGAGCAGGGCTAAATCACAAACTTGGGCAGGAACACCAACCAACAATTGCCAACTCAAAAAGATCCACATGCTAATAGCCATTTTTAGTTGATTCATGTGCTAATTAGTATCTTGGGATAATTTAACTGAATGATCAGAGGGTGTTGCAGTCTTGAGGAAGAGAAGTACTGACTCTGAAGCCTGACAGTCTAAGTTCAAATCCCAGGTCTGTTACAGACCAGTTGAATTGACTATGGGCAAATTATTCCCTTCTTTGGGCCTCAACTTCATTCTTCATTCATTCCTTCAAGAGGCGGGCTGGCTGATAGCACCTCATATGGCTGTTGGGAGGATTAAATAAGATAATTCATGTAAGAAGCTGGGAGCAGTGCCTGGCACAGATGTGTTTACTCTATAAGTACTAGCTGTAATAATGATAACGATAATATAGAGCCAACAGTTACTGTCCTGATTTCATTTAATCTTCATAGTGGCCCCTACCTCCAACTTCTTCACCACCACCACTCTTCCTTGGCCCATGTCTGGAAGCCTCACCATCTGGATGGGCTTCCCAGAGGTTCCCAGGGCAACCCCGAGTCCCCAAGTCCCGTCCCCGCTGCTGCTCCTCTCAGCACTATTCCCAGGTCGGGACACAACCCCTCAGTCGCCACTTGGGGGCAGCAACACACCGCTCAGCCGCTGCGCGCGCGGCGCATTGTGGGGCACGTAGTCTCGTGGGCGGTTTAAGCGGTGCTTCCAGCCTGGGAAGTAAACTGCATTTCCCAGAAGGCCACGCGACACCCTCTGCCTCACCTTGCTCAAATCTGGGGGCTGAGACCTCACCCCCACCGAGAGCGCGCCTCCGGAGCGGCGCGGGGAATTGTGGGGTGGCGGAACGGAGGCCCGCGCCCCGTGGAGGAAATGCTGCGCCGGCGCGGGCGGTTGGTCTAGCCAGATGGACCTTAGCGGGCGGGTAGGGGCAGCAGCTGTTCAGTCCCGGGAGTCGCCGCCGCTTTAAAGCAACGGCGTGGGGGCGTGGGGTGCTGCGCAATCCCTTACTCAGGGAACTGCGAGACCAGACCCCCGCCGCTGTGTATGCCCTGGAGCCAGCTCCGCCGCCTGCGGCTCTCCTGAATCTCCACTAACCCTTGCCGGCTCTCGAGACTGTTCAAGGCGCTTCAGTCTTAAAAGAAAACAATCCCTTCCCCTTCTTTTCTCTCTTTTCCTTCACAGTTACCCCATCTCCCTCCTTTAAAAAACAAACAAAATAAACAACAAAAACCCCACCCTATTATGGTAATGTTCAACCGTGCACACGGGAAGAATGGGGTAATGACCCTCCAGGTACCCAGCACCTTTCTTAAACAATTATCAACGTATGGCCAATCCTGTTTTATTTTTTCTGCCTCCCTCCCTGCAGAATTAGTGTAAAGCAAATCCCGGACGGCATATTTCATCCACAAATACTTTTATATGTATCTCTAAACACAAGGTTTGTTCAAAAAAATAACACCTTTATCACACCTAAAAACAAATAATTTCTTAATTTTATTCAGTATCCAACCTGTCTCCAGATTTCCCTGATTGTCTTATAAATGTCTTAACTGTTGACTGGTTCAGATCAGAATCCAAACAGGATCTATGCATTGCATTTTGTTGGTACCTCTCACAAAGATACCTGTCTGATTGGTTGCACTTGGTGTCCTTCGTTATGTTCTTCTGTCTCCTGTATGTCCTGCAAACAGATGTAGAGGCTGCGTCAGATTCAGGTGTTTTGTGTTTTGTTTTTTGATTTTTAAAAAATGTTTATTTGTTTTTGAGAGAGAGAGAGAGAGAGACAGAGCGTAATCAGGGGAGGGGGAGAGAGAGAGGGAGACACAGAATTCAAAGCAGACTCCAGGCTCCGAGCTGTAAGCACAGAGCCCAAAGCAGGGCTTGGACTCATGAACTGTGAGATCATGACCTGAGCCGAAGTTGGTTGCTAAACCGACTGAGTCACCCAGGCACCCCCAGATTCAGGTTTAACTTGGGGGTAAGTAGGCTTCATGGGTGATGTTGAGTTCTTCGATCAGGAGGCACATAATAATGTCTGGATGTTTCTTTGCTTGTGATATTAATATCCAATGTTGGGTTTGAGAGTTGTCAGCCTGACTCATCCATTATAAAAACACAGCCAAACTTTAAGAGGGAAGTGTCTACATGCTCTCCCCTTCATCTCTTTCCCTCTGTTTCACACACACACAAAACCCCAATAGTTTTGTGTTGCTAAAGCTCTTCCCTATTGCCAAACTCAAGAGTCACTTCTCTATCCTTAACTCAATGATCCTGCCATGATGGGCCTATCCTGTCCTGGCCAGTATTAGTAGGCACTAGCCACACAGTGGGCTAGCTAGTCCTAATTGAGATGTGCTCTAAGTATAAAATACATACTGGGATTTCAAAGATTTACTACCAAAAAAAAAAAAAAAAAAAAGAAAGAAAGAAAAAAAGAAAAAGAATGTAAAATGTCTTGAGAATTTTAAAGACATTGATAATGTATTGAAACTATAGTATTTGGGGGGCGCCTGGGTGGCGCAGTCGGTTAAGCGTCCGACTTCAGCCAGGTCACGATCTCGCGGTCCGTGAGTTCGAGCCCCGCGTCGGGCTCTGGGCTGATGGCTCAGAGCCTGGAGCCTGTTTCCGATTCTGTGTCTCCCTCTCTCTCTGCCCCTCCCCCGTTCATGCTCTGTCTCTCTCTGTGCACCCCCCCCCTAAAAAAAAAAAAATAAATAAACATTGAAAAAAAATAAAAAAAAAAAGAAACTATAGTATTTGGGATATATTAATAATAAAATATATGATTGAAATATTTTGTCAAAATACTTTCACTTTTCTTTTGAAATGTGGCTACCAGAGATTTTTAAATAACACATGTTATTATATACATTATATTTCTATTAGAAATGTATTTATAAATAAATCTATTAGAAACATATTACATTATATTTCTATTAGCATTGTTTTCGACCCAGTGATTTTCAAAATGTGATCTTTGGGTCAGTAGCAGCAGCAACGGCACATGATAACTTGTTACAATTGCAAACTCTCTGCTGCCCAGACCCACTGAACTGGAATCCCTGGGGATATAGGACCCAGCTGTCTGCATTTTAACAAGTCCTTCAGACCAATCCCGTCTGAAAACTCCCCTTCTGCTTTCTGTGATGCAGTACTCTCCCAAACCCACCCACTTCTCACCCCTCCACTGTTAACACCCTGGTCTGAGCCCCATTCGGCACCAAATGGACCACCACAATTGCTAACAAACCCGCCTCTAATCTTGTGTCCTACTTGTAGTCCTCTCACCACAGCTTGAGGGGAGGGGCAAGGGGTGTCTTTCAAAAACATAAATCAGATCGTATTACTTCTCTGCGTAAAACCTTCCAATGGCTTCTCGTTGCACTTACAGTAAACTCCGAGCTCCTTCCTGTGGCTGCTGCAGCCCTCCGTCACGTGACCTCTGCAGCCTCCTCAACCTCACATTGTTGGAACCTCCAACTTCCCTTTCACTCTTTCGGCCCCAGCCATCTCTTCTCGCTGTTCTTTCCTGGCTCGGGGCCTTTGTGATGGCCATCCCCTCTTCTGGGAATAGAGTTCTCCCAGATCTTTGTAGTGTAGGTCTAGCTCTCTTGTCCTTCAGGTCTCTCAGTTCAGATGCCCCATCTCAATGCTGTCCTTGTGTCACTCCAACTGAAGCCTGACTCCCCGACGCCCACATTCACATATCACCCACCTCTCCTTCTGCGTGGCATGTTACACACATTGTTCTTCCTCGTCTTCATTTGTTTGTCTCCTCTACTAAATGTCGTAAGCATACAAGGGCAGGGATTCACCTCTCTTGCTTACCACTTTGTCCCCAGCTCCTACCTGCACATAGTAGGTGCTCAAGATAGGTCTGTTCACTGACCTAGGAAGTGCTCCTCCTCAGTCTCTCTTGTGGCTTCTACCTACTCTGAAGTCAGAGGACCATTGGCGTCCACAGTGTTTGAAAAATAGGAACACCCCGATGACACTCCTGATTTCTGCCTTCTGCCGTGTTGGGATATCTGACAACTTGGAGCCCACTTTTATTTTCTTATGTTTATTTATATATTTTATTTATTTATTTTGAGGGGGAGCAGAGGGAGAGGGAGAGAGAGAATCCCGAGTAGGCTCTGTGCTATCAGCACAGAGCCTGATGTGGGCCTCGATCTCATGAACTGTGAGAGTTGGTCAAGAGTTGGACACTTAACTGACTAAGCTACCTAGGCACCCCTGGAGGCCATTTTTCTCCTTGGGCACAGTAGGCTGGAGCTGCTAAACCTATGAAGGTTTAGCTGATGGAGATACAGATATTAGAAAAGAGAGACGTTAACACATGGAAGTGGTTATGCACCAGATGGAGGAGCTAAGGGGCCAAGTAGGAGCCAGTGAAGCAATCAGAAATTAGCAGCAGTGGGAAGCCACTGTCACTCCAGGCTGGAGGAACAAAGGAAGGAGTTACCATCATCAGACCCAGAGACAAAGTCACCTCATAGAAGCTGGAGAGCCAGAAGGATTGTCTAGCTGGCTGGAGCTGTGGGGAGGCACAACCACAGGGAGAGGGAAGAATTGCCTTGGCCTGCTGCTCCCACGCGCTGGGCTCCTGCCACTGCTTCCTGTTGGCAGAACCCCAGGTAAATCCAGATAAAGGGAGAGGCTGGAAACTGGCCTGGGATGCAGGCAGAAAGGGGAGGATGAGGAACAGGTCTGGGGGCAAATACAGCCTAGAGCAGTACAGCACGGGGTCCCGGACAAACCAGGGTCCCCACCATGCCGTGGTGTCCCCACCTCACTGAGTCACATTATAGGTCTTGCTGCTGTAGGACTAGGGTTAGGGTAGAATTTGCGACCCCAGTGTTTCAGTTATCTTTTGCTGCATAACACGTTATCCAAAAACTAAGCAGCTTAAGTCAACCATTTTCTTTTTCCTCTGACTTTATGGATCAGTTATTCCAGAAGGGCTCAGTGGGGCTGTTCTTACTTGGTGTCCATCGTATGGTTGAACTCAGATGTTAAGTGGGCTGGAGTCATTTGAAAACGCGACGGGCCTGGTGTCCCAGGTGGCTCACTCACATAGCTGGCAATGTTGCTGACCGTCAGATGAGAGGTCAGTGGGCTGCTGACCAGAGCAAATACACATGGCCACTCCAGCATGGCAATCTTACATGGTGGCTGGCTTCTCCCAGAGCATGGGTCCCAAAAGATCCAGAAAGAAACTGCTTAGCATTTTCTGACTCAGCTTCTGAAGTCACACAGCATCACTTCTCCTGCTGTCTATTGGTTGAAGTAGTCACCAAGTAGTTTTTTTTTTAACTTGTTATATTTTTTATTTTTTAAAATTGACATCCAAATTAGTTAGCATATAGTGCAACAATGATTTCAGGAGTAGATTCCTTAGTGCCCCTTACCCATTTAGCCCATCCCCCCTCCCACAACCCCTCCAGCAACCCTCAGTTTGTTCTCCATATTTACGAGTCTCTTCTGTTTTGTCCCCCTCCCTGTTTTTATATTATTTTTGTTTCCCTTCCCTTATGTTCCTCTGTTTTGTCTCTTAAAGTCCTCATAGGAGTGAAGTCGTATGATTTTTGTCTTTCTCTGACTAATTT